CATTTTATTTGTAGTGTGAACAAGCAGACAAAAAAATCAGATTTGATCAAAAAATCGGAATTGAGCATTAAGACCTGCAGTGTGAACGTAGCCTTTAAATGGCAAGCTAGCCCAACTCACTCTCTTGCTCTTATGCTTTAGTTTCATTATTAAGTTACTTTAACTGTGGGCTCGACTCTGTTTCCACTCTGAAATCCCATTTTAATGTGAACAACTAAGATCTGACGATTCATGTGAAATGACAAAGCAAACTCTCAGCAACTTATTAAGCACCACTGTGATAGCAAAGAAACATGCCAGATGGCAGCTGCTTTGTCATCTTTGAGAAGGATTCATATTGCAACAGGATAATGATCCCAAACACAGATAAATAAATATTCTTCCTCCAGATCAACCAGATTAATGGTAAAAATGTTAGGTGAAACTGGTTCGGGTTTGTTTAAGATATGTTAAAAGACATGTTTTGAAATGTTGGTGGTGCTAGGAAAAACTAAGTCATGGACTTATTAGCAACTTCTAGGAGTCTTAAATATCCAGAGGAAATTAAACGCCCAGTTTATATGCCCAGTCGTTTGAAAAATATTTGTCAGTTTGCTTCTCTTTTCTTCTCCAGTCGTCTGTTTTGTGGAAAACGTATCAGAATTTAACACCAGTTTGGTCAGTAAGGGGCTGAGAGACGATGGCATTTGGCAGAAGAACAATTCTTCTGGGGACTCGGACGACATGCTCTATGGCATTTTCCAGCTCTGGAATCAGCTGGTCTGTGGTAACGGCACAAATCCATCACCAAATATTTGTGCGATAAAGTGCCTGGGTGAGTATCATTCATTACATGCAAATAAGTACGTTGGTAGATTTTTAATATCTTTCACTTGTTATTTTCTTAAAATTTGATGGATAGAATATCAGATGTAATTGTAGCGTCAAGCCTAGACGATGTAAATTAAACTGAGAATCTACATCTGAACTAGAAAAATATTTGTTTCTTTTTCTCCTTCTAGACTTGATTGATGATGACATACAAGACGATGTCCGCTGTCTGATGAAGCTCTTCGTCGATCTGGTGTAGGTCTTTCTGTCTTTTCTATATAATTTGTCGGTATGATGTCACAGGATGCAACAAACCAGCGAAGATCCATGATGACAACTGAGAGATTTTGTTGTGATCAGATTAGATAGTTGAATGTTTTGTTTGCAACTACACCAATTATTAACAGAAGGAACCGTGAGTACTCAGTGAAATTCACTTCAGTGCCTATTTTCATGATTTCCACAGTGAAAACGGTTTTAGGGCAGCCCATTGGAAGGAGCTGACGAAAGAGTGAGTTATGTCATTATTTGTTTTGAAAACATGACCTTTAAGATGAACTCTTTGCTTTTACTAATAATGTTCAATATTTAAATATTGAATAGATATTTGAGATCAGTGCATATGCTATTCCCAATGAATTGCAATATTTGAATACATAAACTAATGTAAATCTGTTCTCTTGCAGGATTAAGCTCATCTTGCAGGATAAGTGCAAAGATAAGCAAGCAGCTGAGTACTTTGCTGAATGCCGTTAGTGATGAATCTTATGTTAACAGGAGTAAAGTGATTTGTGAAAATAAAATAAAAGTAAAGCATGTAAAGTAAAGATATAGAGTCGTCTGGAAGAACTGAATTGAATCTAGGAAATGTGGATTAAGATGAGCAGTGTGGAGAGGAGAATACAGAAATGCTAACCAGTGACTAAGTAGATAAGTAGAGATATTAATGACCTATGGCACAGGTACTGCCATGGAGCAAAGCACAGACAAAACAGTGAGACCACACAGATAATAGAGTTTTGAATAGCAACAACAAAACAATCAAATTCAGTTACCATCAAAATATATGTGATGAGTTCATGAATGCGAAGGTGTTAAAAGGAAGAAAGATGCTGTTAGCATCAAGCCATTTTTAAAACAGTCAGCCAGTAGGTGTACTTCCTTTAGGAACCGCCTCGCACACCCTGCCCATCTCTACACAAAACCAGAAAGAGGACAGAGCAGAGTGGGAGGACTCATCACCAGTGTGAGGTTGATAACTAAACGTTAGCATAAGGAGACACAATATAGATGTAGGATGTACTCGACAAGTAAAATTCACGTTCAGTTTTGTCAAGAGCCCCAACAGTTCTAGCAGGATGGTGCAGAGCTTGTTCTTACTGCAAGGTGTCAAATACTGCCAGAGGCCGTTGGCCTCACAGAGACGAACAAGGTGTCCTTTAGTGTCACTGCGCTGACAGCAGAAAAAACAAAATCCAGAACCATTTCATGTTTTTATTCACCCCAGTTGCTTTAGAAGCACCAGTTAACTTAACCCTATGCATGTCTTTGGACTGCTGAAGTACTGGATGATATGCAAACTCCACACAGAAAGGTTGATCCCACCTTGATTCAAATGCAGGACCTTTTTGTTGGCAGCCCTTCAAGGGCTGTAGTTTAATTATTTTTGACCCTCAATAATGAAGACATCTTTTTGTTCAAACATGATATATGACACAATAACAAATGCTAAAAATAATTCTGTGCTTCTTTCAGCCTCGCATATTTACAAATAATACCGCTATCATGGTTTCATGTGTAGTGTTGGGAACATAAATCAGATTTCTACTAAAGATTATCATAACATGTGATCGTGTACATCATACAGTGTATTAAAACCATATTAGAGTAAGCAAATTTGTTGATGTTGTCATTCTGGCTTGTTACCACTAGAGGTCAGTCTTTGTTGCAGTTTCTTTAGATTCTTCATCCTGCATTTCTACATTTGTCTTTCTCTCTGTTCCACTCTGTCCTTGGGGACACACACATGTCACAGTCACATGTCACAGAGGGGAAAGAAAATCCAAAACAAGTTGAGAGCACAAACAAGTGTATTCACACATCCAGTAAATGTCTTGATGCATGCTCAATCGTTCAGGTATAAGGAAATCCCAGAAAGTTGATTCTGTTTATCTGGAAGTAGCGTTTTCAGTGGGGGAAACATTTCGTCGCTCATTCAAGTGACTTCTTCAGTCTCCAGGTTTCCCCAATCTTATAAACACCACATCCAGAACACCTCGGATTTTGACTATAGAGGCAGGTGAAGCAATGGTCTGCTACGATGTTACATCTCTCTTCACTTGTGTTCCAGTTACTGAAGCAGTGGAGGTAGTTTGTAAGAGATTACAGGGTGACCCCAACCTCAGCAACAGGACCACTCTCTGCACTTACCACATTTTTTTTTGCTCTTGGAACTGTCTTCATTACACCTATTTTAGAAATAAGGGTCAGTACTACAGGCAGAAACGTGGCTGTGCCACGGGTTCCCCAGTTTCATCGATTTTCAATTCAATTCAATTCAATTCAATTTTATTTATATAGCGCCAAATCACAACAAATGTCGCCTCAAGGCGCTTTTGGCCGATTTTGGCCAACCTGCAAATGATAGAAGTGGAAAAGGGGGCTTTGTTATCCTACCATGGAACAGCAACAAGCTTTGGATCGGGTATGTGGATGACACCTGGAGAAAATCAAATCTCAGGACATACCACAATTCACTGATCACATTAACACGCTGGGTCAACACGGCAAGTTCACCAGGGAGGATATGAAAAATGGCAGGTTGGCCTTCATAGACCGTGAGATTTACAACAGTAATGTGGACATTTAAAAGCTGATGTGTGCCTTAAACCTACGGACACGGATCAGTGTTTAATGTCTGACTCTCATCATCCACTGGAGCACAAACTGGGCGTCATCAGGACGCTACAACACAAACCCTTAGTGATCCCTTGTGTGTCAGGAGAATCACACAATCACAATTGAGACGCATTTTCTCTAAACACTGCATCTCTCTGGCTTCTAACTCTTTCGTCCTGACCCCAAAGCAGTTAGAAATCCATAAGTTTCAGGTTTTCTAACTGTTAAACTGTGGTTAAACTGACCTCCCAGCCCATTGTTCATTCAGTGGTGCTGGTTTCAGTCATTGTGCAAATGTATTGTTTATAAGGTTGTGTAAACCTGCAGTCAGCTGAGACTGAAGAAGCCTGGATGAGTAATGAAACATTTCTCCCACTGAAGATGCTACATCCAGATGAACAGAATCAACTTTAGTAAAGACAGTAAATAAAGACCAGCATGCAATTCATATCATTTGTTCCCTTTAAGTCCAGTTTGGCTCTTGAACAGCTAGATGGTCCTTTCCAGCATCTGTTTACACTGTTTGCTTTATCAGAGATTGCTACTGCCCTCTGCTGCTAGAAGAGATATTACATGTAGTGTTGAGGGAAAAAAAAAAACACACAAGACTTGATGTGTACGAAGATCAAAACAGGAGCTAAGAGAAGCTAGTTTTCTATTGAGCTGCAGAGTTGGATGATAGTTAAGTTGGCTGGGTCTGATTTAGGACAGTTATCACCCAGTGGATTTGAGCTCTGGACACATTTTTGCTTCTATATTTTCTATTTTTATGGACTCTACATCTTTGGAACTGGATAGGCTGGCAGCTCTGCTGATCTTGGTGAGCGTTTCCTCGTACGGTGGAGGCAGGTAGACCATAACAAAGACTCCATCGGATCCATCGGAGCTGGTGCTGGCGTGGCGCTCGGCGTTCTTGGTCAGAGAGGACAGAAACTCAACGCTGCTCTCTGCATCCTCAAGGTCAAGAGTGATGATGTTAGCCAAGCTTAGTTTACTGTGTGAATAGCAGCGGTATATCAGCCCAACCAGGACAGCCAGCAGGAGGACGGAGACAATTGGAAGGATAATGTAAACCACCAGCTCCAAACTTTCTGGAAATCCTAATTGGAGTCCATAAAAACTGTTGTCCTAGAGATCAGCAAAGAAGAATTCATGATATATTTGTCAGAACTTCCATATTCATCTATAAGCCCTAACATTCATGTAAGAGATGTGTAAATTAATGCAGATTGCTAATGATGTACAGGTAAGTATATAACCTAACCCTGAGACGGTTTGATCCAGAAACAAAGGGTGACTCTACAGCCCTCCAGCTTTGAGAGAACAA